AAAGAATGCAGTAACGCGGATTTATACCACAAACTAATGGCTGACTCTGAAATTGTTGGTGTTAGACGTTTCATGAAAAGAACTTGTGATGGTTTAGAACCCCTTACTACTATAAGTGTTACCTTTGTAGGAACTGTTCTCCCTCAGTATGTTTATTTAGACAACTGGCGTTACAAAGTTTTCACTTATATTCCTCCTCTCATGCAATGTTTTAAATGCATGAAATTTAGACACAGTGCCAAAGTATGTAGAAACAATCAGGTTTGTTCAAAGTGTTCAGGTGGTCATTCCTATAAGGAATGCTCAGCTGAATTTTTAAAGTGTGTTAACTGTGGAGGAGACCACTTGGCAGTATCCAGGTTTTGTCCTCAAAAAGCAGCTCAGATTAAAAAACATGAAAATAATTATTCATCTAAAATGTATTCAACTGTATTATTGTCAAGTGATTTTCCTCCGTTACCTAGTGATAAATCAGTTGTAAAGTTGGCTCACAATAAATTAGCTTCACCTACTGTCCAACCTAAGAAAAAAAAGTTATCACAAAATTCATCAGATAGTTCAATTCCAGTCCAGTCTGCTCCTCCTAATAGTGGTTCCTATGATCAGCTCATTAAAGATGATCAGTTCTTAAGTAAAATTATCAAAACTTTAGTTATGTTAGGCAATTCTAATACAGCAAACACAACTGCACACATTAAGGATATATTATTACAAAACTTAACAAAATAATGGATTATTTACGATTAATGCAACATAACATACAGAGTATCAATAATAAAAAACCACTTCTTAAATCTTTATTATATGATAATAAAATAGATGTGTGCTTGCTAAATGAAACTTGGTTAAAAGATTCTGGTCTGCCTTTTTATATACCTGGTTATATATTTGTTGGAAAAAATGCTAAAAATGAGCATGGAGGTGTAGGTATTTTAATAAAAATGATATTAAATTTAAGGTCTTAAAAACTACTTTCTATCAAAATATTCAATTTATAGCTATTTCTATAATAACAGGATGTGGTCCTGTCTCAGTGCTCTGTGTCTACTGTCCACCAAATAATAGCTCAATTGGTTTGATTAATTTGAGAAAGATTATTTTGCAATTACCCAAGCCTTGTCTTGTATCTGGTGATTTTAATGCTCACAATATAGCTTTTGGTTGTGATACTACCAATTCAAGAGGTCGTGAATTATTTGATATATTTGATGATGCTGATTTATGTATTTTAAATTCTGGTGACCCTACTACTATTTCTAGACCTGGTAATAATGCATCAGCCATTGATGTTACTTGTGTTAGCCCTGATATTGCACCACTTTGTGAGTGGTATGTCAGTGATGACTCTTTAGGGAGCTATCATTTACCTACTTTTGTTAACATCATTACCTCAACTCAAAAATATACAGTACAAGAGTCTATACATAAGTATTTATATAATAAAACAAACTGGAATATGTACAATGATAAATCCAAAGATATATTTGATAAATTTTCTCCTTCAACAATTGATCCTTTAGTTCAATATGATGAATTTTCTAAATTACTACTTAGTTTAAAAGAAAACTGTGTTCCATTGTTAAAGCATAAATCTTCTAGTAAAAAGTCTGCTCCTCCAGCTCCTTGGTGGAATGATACTTGTGCCGAGGCTGTAACCAAATCAAGAGAAGCGTTAGCTAATTATAGACGTAATATGACAATGGACAATTATATAGAATATAAGAAAATAGATTCGAGGAAAAAAATGATTATAAAAATGGCTAAGAAAGACAGTTGGAAAAGTCTTTGTTCGTCTTTTAATAGATTCACTCCAGTATCCCGAGTGTGGAATTTTATTAGAAGATTTAAGAGAATTAACATTAATAGAAATGTGTCCAAAAATGATGAGTGGATAGCAAGTTTTTTAGAGAAGTTAGGGCAATCTAGTAATAACAACGATAATATTTCTGGTTTATTTGAATTTAATGATGGAAGTCAGTGGAGCAAGTTTCTACTTAACTCTTTTTGTTTTGAAGAACTTGACATGGCTTTGTCTTCAAGAAAGAATACAACTCCTGGTCTTGACGATATTCCTTATATTATGCTTCAAAATCTACATGTTTCTGTAAAACATATTCTACTTAATATTTTAAATTCGCTTTGGTCTCAGCAATTGATTCCAGAATCCTGGAGGTTGCAATGTGTCATACCAGTGTTAAAACCTGACAAACCCAATGATCATTTTAATTCGTACAGACCCATTTCTCTTACATCTTGTGTAGGGAAATTGTTTGAGCAAATGATTAAGATTAGACTGGACTATTTGGTTGAAAACCAGAAACTTATTCCTTCTTGTCAGTTTGGATTCAGAAAAGGCAAAAGTGCAGCAGAAAGTTTTATAGCTTACCTGACTGATATGAAGAAGTGTTTGTTATCAGGTTCTACTGCAATTTGTGTTTTCCTTGATGTTCAGGGGGCATATGATAATGTAGATCTTCACCAATTAATTAAGGTGCTATATTCTTTGGGCTTCCCAGGAAAGCTTTTGAAATGGATTTTCCATATGTATTATGGTCGTTCTTTATACATTAAATACAATAATGTTTTTCATGGTCCAAAATTAGCATTCAAGGGGTTGATGCAAGGGTCTTCTTTATCTCCAATCCTGTATAACCTTTATACTTCACAAATATATACATATGTGACTGAATCTGTAAAAATATTACAATTTGCTGATGACATCTTAATATATAGTGTAGGCAGTAATTTACAGGTTACTCAAGCAAAAGTTAATTCAGCTTTATGTCAACTTAACTACTATTATACTGAGATACTTAAATTAAATATAAATAGTAGTAAAAGTTCAGTTTTAGCTTATGGTATTGATACTAATGTAAATGTTAAGTATAACAATAATTTAATCCCTCAAAATAGCGAAAAAAAGTTTCTTGGTGTAATTTTTGACACTAAATTAAAGTTTACCAAACACATTGACTATATTTGTAGTAGAGCTTTGAAAGGTATCAATATTTTGCGGTCCTTAGCAGGAACTTTTTGGGGTTCTGATCCAAAAGTTCTTTGTTTATTATATAAAAGCTTAGTACGTAGTCATTTTGATTATAGTTGTCTGGCATATATGAATATTAGTCCTGTATTATTAAAAAAGCTTGATGTTATCCAAAATATTGCTCTTAGAATTGTTACTGGTGCAATGCGTACCACTCCTATCAATTCTATGGAGGTTGAGTCATGTGTAGAACCACTATGTATTCGGCGAGTATTAATTGCTGAAAAATTTTGCCTGAAAGTGATAACTTCTCAGAATGATGTTCTTCTTCCAAAACTTTCTTATTCTATAACTATCACTAATACACCAGATTTGCCTTCAAGTATAACAGCGACTAATGTTCTCAATAACCAGATCCCTGAATTATTGGGAATTATGAGCTTTATGACTGATTTATCTGATAATATGTACAAATCTGAACTATGGCCTGTATATCTTTGTAAATATAAAGCTCTTATGTGTAAATTAAATATAGATATGTCCAGTGTAGTAGATAATATAGACTTTCTGGATTATTGCTGTACCAAGCCTAACAGTTACAAAGTCTACACTGATGGGTCTAAATCTTCATCTGCAGTGAAATCGGGTTACTATGATCCTCAGGCTAAAACCTCAAAATGTTTTATGTTAAGTAATACTTGCAGCATATTTACAGCTGAAGCTTATGCTATCTATCAAGTTGTATTGTACTTACAAAGTTTACAAAATAACGATAACTACATGGAGTTCCTAATAATTTCAGATTCAAAAAGTGTGTTAATGGCTTTAGACAAATGTCATACTTATTATAGAAATAATTATTTATTGTATAAAATTAGAGAAGCATTGATATCTTTGGATACTCCAGTAACATTTAAATGGGTGCCCTCTCATAGGGGTATCAAGGGAAATGATATTGTAGATGGTATTGTGAATTCTAATTATGATGAGGATCATAGTATTACATGCAGAGTTCCTTTTACGGATTTTCTTTTCGACTTAAAACAAAGAAGTCGCAAGTTATGGGAAAGCTATTGGAAATTATCCTCACAGCATAAAGGTAGTTGGTATGCAGAGATCCAAAAGGAACTCCCATGTAAACCTTGGTATGATAAATACAAAGGAGCCAATGAACGTAAATTTATAACCATTATTAATCGTTTGAGGTTTGGCCACTGTCAGACTCCAAGCCATTTATTTCGTTTTAAAATTATAAATAATAACAGATGTACATACTGTGGAGGAAATGAGGCCGACTTATCCCACCTCATCTTGAGTTGCCCGACCTTTAAATTTCAACGATTAATACTAGTAACGGATATTATGAAGTTGATGGATTTTGATGAGAATAATCGGACTAAACTTGGAAATTCTTTAGCAAATAACCCGACAAGATCAGCTTTAGACTCATCAGTCACTGCAAATGGTAGTCATCAATGTCAACCATCACAAATAGAAATTCCCCGCCGTGTCCAAGATTTACTGAAATGTCCAGTTCTATTCAAAGCTATTTACTATTATATAAAAAAACACAGTTGAGAAAATTTAAAGCTCACCATTGTTTTATATTGATTGTATTTTATGTTAAGTTAGTATAGTTATTTGTGTAAGATATTTTGTTATACCTTTTTTTAAAGTGCCAATGGACTTTGTATCCGGCTAATAAATAAATTAAAAAAAAAAACATAACATGGCTGCTTTAATTTGTTGGACGTTTGGAAATCGGTAGCATTCCGTTTTTCTTAATTTATTTAGGTTATATTGTGAATTTTGTTTTTTAACTTATAAATAACACTATATTTCATGTAACATAATAAACTTTGAAAGTGTAGTGCGGTGCCAGGAGTTGTGTATAATGTTCCGCATTGTTTCATGATACAAGGTAAGACTTGGTGACTGGACTAAGTTGTTATGACTATCCTAAAAATAAATATAATCAGGTAATTTCTCTAACTAGGTATCTGAAGTTATAATCATGGATTTCGGAAACCCGCCACCGAATATGTCCATGCCTCCCCCTGGCATGGGAAATATGGGGCCTCCAATGGGCCCGCCGGGTCGTAACAATATACGCCCTAACTTTAGGCCATTCAACACATATCAGATGCGTTTTCCACCTCAAGGTCCACTCAATATGACACAAGATGATTTCGACGGTAAACGTTTACGTAAATCTGTCATGCGTAAAACTGTAGATTATAACTCTTCTATTATTAAGGCTCTCGAATGTCGTGTTTGGCAGCGAGACTGGAGAGATAGGCATGTGTTGCAGCCCGATGCTATGTATACTCCTGACTTACTTCCCCCTCCATCTTACCCTGACAACCCTATTAATGCAGTTACCACACGATTTGTTAAAACAGCAACAAACAAAATGAGATGTCCAATTTTTGCTGTTGCATGGACACCCGAAGGGCGTAGGTTAATAACAGGGGCTTCATCTGGTGAATTTACATTATGGAATGGATTGACATTTAACTTTGAAACTATACTACAAGCCCATGACTCTCCCGTAAGGTCTATGGTATGGTCACATGGAGAAGGCTGGATGGTAACTGGAGACCATTCTGGCTTCATTAAGTATTGGCAAAGCAACATGAACAATGTTAAAATGTATCAGGCACACAAAGAGGCTGTGCGAGGAATAAGTTTTAGCCCAAGTGATTCCAAAATAGTAACATGTTCTGATGATGGTACACTACGAATATTTGACTTTTATAGATGTCAAGAAGAAAGAATCTTGCGAGGCCATGGTGCTGATGTGAAATGTGTACAATGGCACCCAACTAAAGCTCTTATTGTATCTGGAAGCAAAGATAATCAACAACCTATAAAACTCTGGGATCCTAAGTCTGGAACAGCTCTCTGTACTCTACATGCACATAAATCAACAGTTATGGACTTAAAATGGAATGAAAATGGGAATTGGCTTATAACAGCTTCGAGAGATCATTTACTTAAATTATTTGATATAAGAAAACTAGGCACTGAATTACAAATATTTAGAGGTCACAAAAAAGAAGCATCCAGTGTAGTTTGGCACCCAACACATGAAGGATTATTTTGTTCTGGTGGGTCTGATGGAGCTATTTTGTTTTGGAATGTTGGCACTGATAAAGAAGTTGGCTGTATCGAAGGTGCACATGAATCAATTGTGTGGACAATGGCTTGGCATCCTTTAGGTCATATATTGTGTTCAGGCTCAAATGACCACACTTCAAAGTTTTGGACTAGAAATCGTCCAGGTGATCAGATGAGAGATAAATATAACTTAAATACATTACCACCAGGAGTGCAAGATGAAAGTGAAATAGAAGAACCTGGAACTATACCTGGAATGGGACCTGAAGATACAGTGGAAATATTTTCAACCGACACTGATAAAATTATTCCTGGTTTAGATTTAGATACCACTCATATACCAATGGAGTTTGAAAAGAAGATTAAGAAAGTCCCGTACAGTAAACCCATACCAAGAAACTTCCAGGCTCAATGGAACCATGGACCATCAATGGATGATTCATCTTCCGAAGCTTTGACTCAAGTGCTAGTAGAATCTGTGCCAGGGGCTGTGCCTCTACAACAGATACAACCTTCTGCTATTTTTGTATATGGAAAACTAATACCAGTTGAACCAGGCTCCAAACTTGAACAAGCTATCTCAGAGGGTCCAATTGCATTAAAAAGGTACATAGCTACAGGAGAAATTGAAGAACTGCAAGATATGATGCCGCACCTAGAGGATGATGCAGATGACGAAAACTTTACACCATTTGAGTATCCAAGTAATGACCCCGAGACTGAAGAAACAGAGGGTGAAACTAAGGAAAAAGAGGATTATGAGGAGGAGCAGTATTATGATAATGAAATGGATACTAGCAGCCAGACCAATCAGGATAAATTTAAGAAATTTGATAATGGCCCAGATATGGGTAAGATGATGCCCATGAACAATATGCCCCCAATGATGGGACCACCAATAAATATGGGTATGAGGCCACCTATGGGACCACCTATGCATATGAGTCCAATGCATATGCGCCCTCCTCATATGGGTGGAATGCCACCAATGGGAAACATGCCTCCAATGGGCAACATGCCACCCAGAGGGAATATGCAACCAATGGGCAATATGCCACCCATGGGTAATATGTCAATGAACAATATGCCACCTCGAACCCCTTACCAAGACAATGGTTACAGTAAAGGTCAATATGATCAGTATAATCAGGAGAATGAGTATAATGAAGAGGAAAGTTATGACCAGGAATATGAGGAGGAGAATTACAATGAAGAAGGGGAAAATGAGGATTATAGACAGAACCAAAGGTGGGGAGGTTATAGAGGTAGGGGTATAGACAGAGGACGGGGTCAGGATAGAGGTCAAGGCAGAGGGCGAGGTATGGATAGAGGAAGGGGACTGGATAGAGGCAGAGGACGAGGGGTCAACGGCTTCAGCGGTCGCGGCATTCGCGGTAGGGGTTCGCCACGTGGTCCTAACTGGGGTCGTCGTGGTGGCTCAGTGAACCGATCCTTCCGGAGGGGCAACAAACAGCCCAACTAGTATATATCAATTCTAAGTTCACCAGTCAAGACTTCAGATTATTAACTCCAGTGTAAGTGTAAGAGCAATAATGCGGCGGCGAATGAATCTGAAATGAATAAAATGAAATTAATGTTGTATATAATTTTGACGGCTTCTATTTTGTTTTCAATACGCTAAGACATAATAAATATTATGTAAAAAAAATATTCTTTAGTTTTACCCTCAGGCCTCAATATCTGTTACACGGTGAGTTGAATTCTTTTCTTTGTATTCTTTCAACTGTTGATGAGATTTTCAATGTGTCTTTTATAATATCAGGTAAACTGTCTCAAAAGAAGCAGCGAACAGAAGATTGCCGACACCATCATCAGGGATTCAGGAAGAAGACTTGAGTGGAAGAAATTTCATCACATTTATAGTAAGAACCTGGAATTTTTTGATTATGTCAATAAAGATATTTAAAAAAACCCTATACCTTTAGATTTATAAAGAGGTTTTTGAAAATAAAGGTTACTAAAAAAGATATCAAGAGCATCCTGTTCCTCTCTTTACCCAATAAAGTCAGTACCTTCATATTATTGGTATGTCACTTGTACTTTTAGTTTATGTATGTACAAAATTTTCATATACTTAAAAAATATACAAATTTATATCATACTAATGAAATTCTTTGTAAACTGTAAACATGTTTTTCCGGGTATATTTGAAATAAAATATATTTTATTAACAATTATTTGGTAGATAATTCACGTATTTTATACAAAATTTCGTTACGGTTAATAATTTCTTCATAATAAAAATATTACGTACTGAACTGACACCGCTTCCCGACCCATCTGCTCTTAAATCAAAATTTTGTCGCAGATATACAATAAGCAACATATTATAAATGTAGTAATAAATTGATAGAATTTAAAGGGGTTTCATTTATCGCCCTCTACCTAAATAAAGAGAGATTGAGAAATAAAATGTAGTTTTCATTTTATACTTAATTTTTGTATTACCAACAGTTGGCTATAGCTACCTTAACAATGTATCCATTGTTACAGATGAAGGCGGTAAAGTGGCTGGCGTTTATCACTGTGTGCTCAGCAAGCCAATACGACAGTGGAGGAGAAAAAAATGGCTTGACCGAAAACGAAAATTCTACTGTACGACTTGAGCCTATAGAAGGCACGCCCAACTTCAGACTAATCAAGCCAGAGAAAGCCACACAGTGGTTCCCAGAAAGAGAAATTAAACTCGACAGTTGTGTGCGCAAATCCCGGTGTGAAGCGCTGAATAGAACCACTTGTCTTGGTGTCAAGTTACCATACAACAAAACGAGCGTGCGTCTAACGTTCTATGATACACAATATAAAATACAGAACCGACTAGAGTTGTATCGTGAGCTTATAAATGTACCAAAATGCTGGGCGGTCATACAGCCCCTGTTGTGTGCTACGTTGATGCCGAACTGTGAAAGGATCAATGGCCAGGATATGGTGTATCTACCCTCATATGAAATGTGCAAGATTACAATGGAGCCGTGTGCTATTTTGTACAATACCTCGTACTTTCCGTCCTTTCTTAAATGTAATGCTACCCTGTTCCCGCCGAAATGTGATAATGCTGCACGGGAGATGAAGTTCAATACGACTGGAAAATGCCTCTCGCCCCTCATTCATACTGATAAAAATGTGCATTTTTATGAAGGTAAACTAATTTTTTACCTTTCTGTACTTTACATTTTTTTGCATTGTAAAATGTACCTGAACATTCAAATGTATTTATGCCGACTATTTTGTCACACATTGAGATGATATGTTTTTTTTAGGAACCTTTCATACGGTTTTAATAATAATAGTATTAGATACTAGACATCTTTATAAAGTTTTTCACTATTAAAAGTATGTAGTACCTGGCATGGTATGTGCGAATATTTATGAGATATTAGCGCAAGCGCATCATTAGTATAAAATTTGTTGCGTAATTATGTAGGAGTCAAAGCGACGACAGGTTGTAGAATAAAATTCAAAGACCTATCCATTTATTTTTCTTTGCCACGGCTGTCTTTGGTACACAGATAAAATGAATAGTATTTATATAAATAATACTTGTTTAAGGGATATACGTTTTTTACTGTAATGTGTTCGACCCTATGTCTTTCAAGAAAAGAGCATTGATTAAAAGGCTTTCTAGCAGTGTGAGTATCCATGGGCGATGGTATTACTTAACATCAGGTAAACCTCTTGCCCGTTTGCCGTTCTATATACAAAAATTATCACATTATTTTCATGAAACGATGTTTGGAGTGGTGAGCTGGTGGTCGTGAGTCTGAAAGTCATATTAACACCATCTATTTACTTGGTTAGGTATCGCCGGCTGTGGTCTTCCATGCAGGGATCCCCTGTATACAGAAGATGAACACCAACAAATCCACAGGCTTGTGGCCTGGGGAGCCTCTGCGTGTCTCGCCCTGAACCTTCTTACTGTAGCCACTTTTCTAATAGACTGGCGAAGCGCCAATAAATACCCCGCGCTAGTGATATTTTACATCAATGTTTGCTTCGCCGTTGCGTCGATGGGGTAAGTGTGTTATAATTAAAAGTTATATTTATTCGTATTGAAAAATAAATACAAATTATCGAATTTGCATGACAACGATTCGTATTAACGTTGCCTAGTACACAGCTGTTACTGACACCGTTTATTACAATTTATAATCACTATATCACTGTAATACTTTGCAACAACATACTTAATACACTAAATTATGAATAAATAAAAGATAAATAACAAGTAATAACAACAATAAACACTTAAAAATAATTAAAATTAGTATTTTGGGAGAAGTAGTGTATTGACAGTTTGCACCGTTACAAAAAAAATTGATACTAGCATCAATTTCTTAATAAGATTATTTGATTGGCATGTTCAAACAGCTAGAAATCTGTGATGTGAGTTCTTAGTTGTGCTAATTAATTTACATATATTTATAGTTCTATAGAGCATATTGTATCATAGTATTGTCTTTTATTGACATAACTTTCACACATTTGATAATAAAACAATTTTTTACCGGATTTAAGTTATGTATTATTATAAACTTATAATTATTTTCCATTAGCGCAGCGAAGCCATTGAAATCAAATTCACCCCAATTTCAATAGAGAAGACGGCCTAAAATTGTCAAACACCTGGGATCCAATAATATCCAAATTAAAATCTCAAGATAAACAATCCGTGAAAATAGAGGACACCGTGAGCCATTTCTGCCAAAACCCTCCATCTTTTAGTTGATACCAACTCCGGGGAAACAAATACAGATAATACAACTTTTTCTACAGCGGTGATACTTTTTGACATTCAACACCTTTTGTCTTCAGTCACCGTGACCCCGCACGCTGTAAAGCACGCGAAACGTCGGTTAAATTTAAAATTATGAAAAATTATTGTAAATACATAACTTCAACCCGGTAAAAAATTGTTTTATAATCAAACTTTTTGTATCATATTACTCTAATAAACCTTATTTCTATTTCCAGTTGGCTAGTACAATTTGTGGGATCCAGGGATGATATAGTTTGCTCAAAAGATGGAACGATTCGTCAGGGCGAGCCCTCGGCTCAGGAAAATCTATCTTGTGTGGTAGTTTTTGTACTGGTGAGTTAATAAAAATATTTAAAAATTCATCAATACAGAGACAGTCTGATTATCTTGACAAGTTAAAAACTATAGTAATATAATAGTAGATTCCTTGATTAGTTACAAAAGTATGCTTTAGCGAAAAGATACATGACTCAAGTTCTAATGCACAGACTAAAACAGAATACATGAACAACAATTATTTTTGCCACAGACCCATAACTAATAGAACCAATACAATGGTTAAGGCTATATTAACAACAATGAAAATTGTTTTACCTTGAAGACAATGTCTTCGGGGCCTCATAGCCTAGCGGTCTTATTAAGTGGCAGCTAGGTACCGGGTTCGATTCCCGGTTCGAGGGCAAGTTTTGATTTAATTTAAATTTGTTCTCGGCCTTTGGGAGACTTGTGCGGTACCGGGCGAGTGCCTAAACCGTACATGGAGGACATGGTCGAATTTCTAAGGCAAAAAGCACGAATTAATATATACTTGACGCTGGCTAATGCACAAACCGTGCCAGAGCCATAAAAAAAAAAGGACAATGTCTTGTAGAAAAATCTACATTATTTTAACAAAAGCAATGCTCTGTCTCTTTTTAATTTTTTAAAGTAGCTCAAACATAACATGTTAGAAAGAGATAAATGATATTTAAAATGTATTGTTTGTTTCAGGTTTACTATTTCATGATGGCGGCGTGTGTTTGGTTTGTGATATTTACATACGCGTGGCACATGAGCTTCCGGGCGTTAGGTATGTATTACTAATTAGATAATGCTGCCTTCAGTAATGACGAACAAACAGAACATGTGCTTCTACATTGCCGTAACGGCCTACAGGAGATGTTAATAAAGCACAGACCGTGCCTGGAACAGTTCTGCGAAAAAAATTTTAAATATATAAAAGCGGCAAACAAAGCTGAAAGAGCGGGTCTCGCGATGAATTGCGCCCCGGCTCGCCTATGAATATTGTAAATAAAAAACACAACGTAACACACCATTCGTGAACGTTTATTGTAATTCATATAATAGTAATTAAATGTCTTAAATATTTGTAGTAATCCTCGAAAGTGAATTTCGTTTTCGAGCATAGACAATGGGTGGGTTATATATATATATAATATGTGTAAAAAAAAAGTAAATAATTACTATTGACGTAATCACCAAATAAGAAAATCAAGACCCCTAGTACTTACGTAATACTTGAACGGCCCCTTAACGATTTTATTAGAAATTAGTTATTAAGAGCGGTAAATTCCTACTTTTGTGTCATGTTCTTAAGAAGATTGATTTTTTTTTTCAGGAAAAATCCAAGATCGAATAGACAAAAAAGCCGCCTATTTTCACTTAGTGGCCTGGTCTTTACCACTAATACTCACAATAGCAACGATGGCCATCGGTGAAGTCGACGGCAGTAGCATCACCGGAGTGTGCTTCGTGGGTTATGTTAACCATGCTATGAGAGGCGGTTTGCTGTTGGCACCTTTGTTTGTGGTTCTCACATTGGGAGGATATTTCCTTTTGAGAGGTGAGTAATTTCTTGAACAATATGTAATAAACGACGAATAAATTATATAAAATTCAAACCATTAAGCAAACGAGTTTACATTTCAATATTTTATTTTGTACTATACTCCGATTTTTAATTCCGTAGAATTCTGACAGCTATCAATTTTTGACAACATTTTTAAATTTCAATACGAGTCTGAACATCTGAGTCTATACATACATTTTATTTGTTAGTGAAATGTATCCATTTTATTAAGTGTGGGGCTCCACATTAAAAGTTGTTTAACGGCGAGTGGTAATTACGTCCCTTTTCATCACAAACAGTAAAAAACGCACAAGTCAAGATAACATTTTATTTTATTAAAAAGGCAGTGATGCCAGCTAAAGAATGAAATAAAGTAATTAAAGTTAATTAGATATATTGTTCGTGTTAGTGAAATGAAATTTCTTATTTTTGTATTAGGTCACTTGAGTAAGTAAGTATTTAAATTTACCTTTTAAAAACATAAAAATACGTAGCATTTAATTTTGTATTGCCCTCAAATGGGTCAAACTTGTCCCTTTTTCGGTGGAGAACTATTTTAGTAGCAACAGTCTTATGAAATGTCGGAATTCTACGGAATGAAAAATCGGAATATAACGAACTTCGTTTTGCCTTTTTCTTAGCCTAACTTTTTAGTAGCTACATTCTAACATTTTGAGAAGCTACCCCATACAGACTGTTCGCTTTGCTGGAATAAAAACCTTAATACTAAATACAACTAACTATTTTTTATTTAAACCTTCCTGAGAGTTAAAGGATATAATAAAAAAAGACTTAAATAATAATAAATCGTTTATTTGCAAAGAAAGTGATACATTCGTATTTCGTATTGATCAACTATAAAAATTCGCACAATTTGATTTTTATAAATAATCACGAAATTGATACAAAACCCCAACCCCCAAGACCAAGGGTTATAGCGCTACAGGTTTCTTCTTTTATAAGATTGCATGACATAATTCGTCATGATCGTAGAACAATGTCGGATTTGAAAAAATCCAAAATCCACTTTTTATCATATTTGGATACTACATTGACTGAATGTTACCGCTACGTTAAAAAAAAATCCATGTGTTTTAAATTTCAAATTAATCAGTCTATAAAGTGACGGATTTGTTAGAAGCATGTGATTTTTATAGAAAAATGTGTATTTTAATGTTATTATTTTTATTTTGTTTCAAAACAAACCCTTTTGTTTACTTGTATGCTAATTTTTATAATAACAGAATATTAATTAAAATAGTTATGACAAAAACTAATATGATTATATTCATTTGAAATGGTTGCCCTGTACAGTTTACTATTTGTCAAATGCGTCACTATTCTACGACTATGACGAATTTATAACTGACTCAAAAGCGTGTCTACATTAATTCCAGGTGTAGTTTCCCTAGTAGCAGTGCGTGTGTCAAGCCGAGATGTTATATCCCCGCGGGCCGCGAACAAGATTCGTCAGACCATAACCCGTTGTTCCCTAACCGCTACTTTGGTAGCCGTATTCATATGCGTCACGTTCGCCTGTCACGTCTACGAGTTTAGGAATGCTGAATCGTGGAAGGAGGCTTTTAAAAGGAATATTATGTGAGTTATGACATTACTGTTTAGTTGGAGCTTAGTTAAGAGCTTCGGAGCTTTTGAATAATTTTCAGCTATTATTTAAATACAGTGTAATCTCCATTTAACGTCACTCGATTTAACGACAACCCCCTAAAGCGTCGAAATCAATCGGCTTTGGTTGGTTTAGCTTGTCTTCTATACAATGATTAACTACATAGCATTACACCCGAAATTAGTTAAAACTGCGGAGCTGTGTACGTTATTTTTTTATTGTCCTAGCCCGTAAACTCGACTATCGGCATCATACGTACCGAACTTTCTAAGAAATCCGTTCTTTTGTTTACAAATTGGGATGGTTTGAGCGTGATTTATCACGAAAATGCATCAATATCGCAACATATGAATAAAGTAAAAAAATAAAACATAATTACTGGTGCACCAAAAGACGTCAAGCCATAAAAACAGACTATATGCAATAGCGTTCAAATAAGAATTGTTTTTTATGTAATTACTAACACTAGTCTGAAATAAACTTTTTCTTTTTCTAGATTTTTCTACTTTCTATTTAACGCCAACACGTATCGTCAAAATATGCACGGTCCCTTGAGTGTCGTTATATAGAGTTTACACTGTATATTAAAAATACTTATTTCCTTTGGAAGTAATATTCCTAAAAATATTTGAATGACCCACATTCCATCCATCACCCAATTCCCGGATTTAAAAACGAACCGCTTAAAACCGATTATTTTAAATGTTTTGTATATGTGTTATGATTTGTTGATTAGCTGCCGCCTCGAAGCCCTAAAAGAACCAGAAAAGGAGTGTTCGAACGGCGCTCGGCCATCGGTATCAGTCCTTCAACTGCGTCTCTTGTGTTGTTTCGCTGCTGGAGCTCTGATGGCTTCGTGGACTTGGACTCCGGCTGCAGCCGCTGCCTGGAGGCGGTATATGGCTAAGTGAGTACTATAGAAATTTATTATTTGGCGACTCTGCTCAGAGCCAGACAGGTCGTAATAAAATGAAAGAAAGAAAGAAATTACGAACTAGCTTTGAATAAGCAAAGACAATTTTTAAGCATTTACGTTGCCGTACCAATTATAAATTTATCTCATCCTGAAAAATGGGAATTTTGATTAATTTTTTAAATTAGTTGTATATACAAAGACAACATCAAACTGGTATATACTCTACTATAACATAGTTCTCACTACATCGCGAGCTTGGGATGTATGTTGCGAATAAATTATATTATTATTATCTATTGCTATTTAATTTAAGGTAAATAAGCATAGTAATTTACATTGACAAGAGCAGCATCAGCTAATTAAGCCGTTGAACTCTGGAGTTAATATATATAATCCGGCTCGAAGGACCCTATGGGAATTAGGTTTTACTCCTCTCTGAGGAGTTGGTCAAACTCTAATAATTAATAAATAAGCCTTGTTTATTCCTTGAAACAACACCTTTTTTATTTTTATTTACTAAAGATACACGTGTCTGTATCTTTAGTAAAGTAAGAATATCTTTCAGGCTGTTAATTAAACGGCTAATTAAGCTAGTTGGCTGCGACATATACATACAATAGATCACATAATCAGCCAGTGTTAATTGAATTATAATAAATACTAACAATTACTCAGAACAAATGTACTGAGTTTGTACGAACAGTCTTAAAATTTTCAATATGATATTAAACTAGACACAAATATCTGTCATAATGTTTAATTTAATTATAAACTTTCAGAAAATGCGGGTGTTCCGTAGAAGCGGAAATGACGCGTCGCGCGCACAAACACGAGCTGATAGCGCGTGCGTACAAACGGAGGAACGAATTCATGACACGCGGAAGGCTTTCCATCTCCTTGGGAGGCTCTCGACAGGATCCTGTGGGACTTTGTCTGGATCATACATCGCCCATTGACTGCCCGGATGATGCAAAACATGAAAGGTATCTTAACAATTTTTTTTACTCAAACAGGCCTATCACATCCAAGCTTTCTAGAGTCAAGACATTCTACTAATATATATTATACTAATATTCTACTAATATATTCTTTATCGGCGTTGGAAAAAAAATTACCATCACATTTTTACGTTACGCGCCATCTTTTTCTTGTCCCTACCACGGTTGATTCGAGAGATTCGAAGCCATTAATAACAAATAATATATAATAACGATAACAATGATAGTAATAACTCTATTACAATGAATGAAATTCCGTAATAACCTTAGTAGTCATAAGGTAAAATGAAATAATTGTATTCATGTCTATGATAATAAAAGCCTTTTGTTAAACTTTATCTAATTTAACTTTATTTAACCAATTTCTGTAAAGTTGCATATAGTAGATCATTTTTCGTAAAATAAGGTCATAAAGAAGTTTCACTTCTTACGTGTGTACACGGACACTTTTTTTTACTGATTTTTTTTAGTATGACATTTATTGACATATTTAACTATTTTAACCGTTAACCGTTAATGACATGATTAATTTAGGTTTAAGTGTATGCATGGGGAATTTTTCTATATTTTACTGAAAGTGAATTATAATAAACTTCTTTTAGAAACAAGTTTATCGAATGTTCTTTATAATTATGTAATTTTTTAAAGAAATATCACGGCTCAGAATAAAATGTCTTAATCTGGTGAATATGTCAAACATCAGTGAAACCTACATTTCCAGTTTGCATTTAAATGATGTTGACTTAAATTTTTTCCAATTATTGATTTGTCTCTTAATGAATTTGATTTCAGTGGTGAGCTGTCGTCATCATGGGCAGCAAATCTGCCGCGTTTTGTGCGCAGACGGGATGCGTTAGTTTTGCCGACGCACGCGCATCACTCGCTCAGCTCCACACCGGATCGAAGGAATTCACAAGTGAATATTTTTTTATTTTATAACACACTTACGGAGAAAAAGGATCTATGAAGCAGAAGTATTTGACCCATACACAATTTTTATTAATAAAAAACGACGGATTGCACTCCGGGAGTGCTGGCAGTTGGCTGGTTAGGGAACAATTTTGCACGAATTGCTTTAATTATCAGTATAAAAGTACTATCATTTATGTGGTAGAATACAATATTTATTTATTGCGCTATCGTACACAAACATGGCATTTTATATTACATTAAATTATTTAATACGCCGCGCCAGCTGTCTACTCTCCATCCGTCTTACGAATTTTCGATCAGGTCACGTGTCCTGACGCGAGTTTAACATTTTTTACCCATTCCAAAAAAAGTGTACAATGCCGCTAAAGAAGTTTTTACTTCAAAAATTTATCTTTCATAATCTAAGGAAAGTTATTTTGCTTTAATGGAAAACATAAATTATTTTGGTTTAATAGACTAAAATCATATAAACTTCGAAGATCTCCATTTTCTCCAACTAAATTTTATTCATATATTTCAGGACTCCCAAATCAGCATCAGCCTTCGTCATGTCTCCGTGGAATCCAGACGCAACTCCCTCGACAGTCAGCTGTCTGTCAAAATCGCCGAAATGAAAACCAAAGTGGGTAGACGCAGGACCAAACATACGAAAACTAAACGGAAAAGCCGAACGCCGAGAAAGGAAAGCACGCCATCTATCGAGAGCCAGATAAGTCGATATTGGCTTCAGGCGGTGGCCAATAATGACCCTTCTAGGGAGGAGGTAAAGTTCAGTTTTGATTGATGCAAGAGTTGTACCAATTTGCATTTCTGATGGAAGCCGTTGAGGCTATCATCATATTTTAAATCGTTTCGCAATATTTTTTAAATGTATATTTGGTATGGAAATATGTAAACAGGCAATTTCATTGAAGCCGTAGGCTGTTTTTTTTGAGTGGCTTTATGTTTTGATATAAAGCATTTAATAAACACTAAGGCTGTTACAGACATAACATATATAATTAATGAAACAAATACACACAGAGAAACACACAAAATAGTAATAAAAAACAAACTAACAAAAAAAAGGAATAAGGTACATTTTAAGTGTGTAATGTGTGTGTGTTGTAGTGGTAACTGTAACACACTACTAGTAACTGGCTCAGCATTATGAATTGATAATAATGTTAAATATGTTTGTAACATTATAAAAATATTCAGTGACGAAACAGCCTTACGTAAATAATTCGTTGTTCCGAAATGCATTTTATAAAATATAATAATTAATTTTTATAAAGTAGTCATATTTAATGTATGACTATTTTTTATATATATTAATAAGCATTTACAGAATTCGAGAAGCCGCAGTCAAAGTTAATTTAGGAATTAATATAAAATCATTGCGATTGATTAAGGATTACGTTAATATTAACGTTAAACTATGTTGCTTTGAGACTTTCTGATATGAATTTGAAAATGTTATAGTATAAAATATATAAACTACTTAAGTTAGTGGTTAGGGCAAGATTCAAAGATGAGATTTATCGTAAACAACAAACTTACTATATTAAAGTCAATAAAAAAAAAAATCTGCATACCGCAGTTATTCTGTTCGATAACTATTGATATCTGTGAAACTCAGAAAATGAGCAAATAGAGATACTGAAAAAAATACATTTTAATTACACACATACAAACATTTTAAAATGTTAAAAGTATTTTTGTAGGTCTTTAATATTGTTAGAATATCAAAGTGTGAATTCTGATTTTTAGATTATAAGTATAAAGTACAAATAACAATTCGACTTTACCTCTCTCAGTGATTTAGCACAAATATCATATTTTTATAAGCATTGTATATTGTAATTTAGGAAATAACCAGCGAATTGATATTTTACCATTTATCAAAGACTGATATTGAATCTCGACAATAATCATGACATACTCTTTCCATGCATTTATTTTTTATATAGATTTAAAAATAAATCTGTTTCGTTTAATTGTTTTATATTCTCATACTAGTAGTCATTCTAATATTATTGTGTGTGATAAATTTGATTAGTGTTATATACACTATAATAAAATTTAGTTTCATGAAGTAGGAGGTTAAAGGTAGGATAGGGTAAAATATGTGTTCCTTTCTTCCTTTCCTGGTATGATAAATTTTTCAACTAAAATAATAATAAAAGCATATTTGAAACTAAAAATGGAAGCATAAATTTACCTCATTCGCTTTCAACTGATTGGTGTAATTGAGTTGTTGATAGTATTCTAATCGAGGTTTATGGAATCATTGATGTTCAAATGTGATCCTAACATATTGGATTAATAACTTCTTTTATTCACCTCATCAAAATGATAATTTTTAACTTATGGCAACTATAGAAAGTCGTGAATTTGCGATTAATTCCACCTCATATTATTTAAGTTTATATATAATTGGTTAATTAAATACAGTTGTGTCAATTATAAAACTTTATAGACTCATGAATAATCAAATGCTGTGCCATATAGGCTATATTTTGTAGCGACTGATTTTTAAATTGTATTAATATTTTTGAAATACATATGAGCATTTGTAAAGATAGGTTGTGATTCATTTATTGTGAATAATACTTTTTGAAAATCCAAATTGAAACAAATATTTTGTGAATTTTGTATTAGGGTTATACAAGTCTGTACTAGCTTTAAAATTTTTATCTTTACACCTATATGTAAGTTTTGTATAATAAACACCCAAGTCAGTACATTGTTTTATTTTTTCATACACTAATTTTAAAAGGATTTTTTATTTAGATACATGAATTAAAATTTACTGGTGCAGTTACATCAGCAGGCTGGTAACATTTAAAGTACTGCATTTACCTGTTAAAACGTAACTCCATTAATAAAAAACTATCAAGTGTCAAGTACTCATCTGCCTTATCATAATAGCCTAAACAAACTTTGAAGAAGAGACAACAGTATTTTATAAGATTGCAATTAGTCATTTTAGTTGTTATGATTTATATCTGTGGGTAAGATTACCTATTTATTATATCAAAAGTGGGTTGTTACAAAATTTAGTTCTCATTTATGTAGTTTAATTCACAAGCTTTGGGTGTATATATTCTACAGTAAATTTTAAAATTAAAACAAACAATAAGATTCATCGTTTATTGAAACAAAAAAGCTTTAAGTACAAGTTTTATAACAGTGAATAAAAGACGAATCTACCTACTCTTAGGTAATATTTTAACTACTAAAATTCACAATGGAATGAGATGCAAAATCAATGTAAAAGACACAACCTCAATTTAATTTTCGTGGAACAAACAGAAAAGGTGATGTGTACTTAAAGAGCAATGTTTGTACCAAGAAAACTAAATTGCAGTAATTAAACTAGAAAACAACAGGAACAATTTAAAAATATGCTTATTTATTATTCTAATCACAGGCACAGCTTCGTGGCAAGAATAAATGAAAACACTGTGGACGGCGAACTATGTTAAATAAACTAAATTACATGCAAAACAATAATAAATAAAGTAAAAGATCTGAAACAAGTCAAGCTTAATCTAGGTCAAATTGCACGAATAGGAATGCATTTCTTTGGCTCTTAAAAATAAATTCGATTAAGCCCTGAAAACAAATTTAAAAATAATACTGTACACTAGTACATGCAAATAAGTATCACACACTGCAGTCTATGTTAATCTTGCTTTTCTTATGTTTTTCTTCTCGGCTTCAGTGAAACCCAGGATATTTTCGATAGCGTTTAGGTGTCCTTGATGGTTTTCCGGGTCAGTAAGGAAGTAGTATATCGCCGATTTTAGGAATTGTAGCGTAACTTCTGGGTCAACGTTAGACTTGGCGCCCTTTTGTGACTCAACGATACGACGGTACATTGCCTGCGGACCAAAATTCAGTTTTAAGATTGTAAAAACTTAAAACCAGAACCAACATCCAATTTATGAAACAAAGTTTGATGTAGGTTCTGAATTATTGTAAATTACATAAATAACAATAATATGGATGACAGGAGTCTTAGCTTATGAACTAGTAGCGTTCATTTACAAAAAATAAATTATATACTAGAAATATAACCAAACTACATTTAACATAGTATCTATACAATGCTATATTTTATTATTAAAATTAATAAATCTAGCTACAGTCTACTGCAAGGTACTATGACAACCAAATTCTAATTATTATTTTAAGATTTGTTTAAGCCATTCGGTTGTCATATTTCCGTGCTTACAAATAAAACAGACTAAATAAAAACTACACTACAAAAAATTATTCATGTTTTAATACCTTAATCTTGCACCAAGTACCCAATAACCAAATGAGGCTGTTTCAAAAAGCATGCAAAGCTAATAAAAAAGATTAATTTAAGCATGTTAGTGCCTTAACCTAAACAAATTACCCCATATTAATTTCGTGGGCACATTTAAAAAAAGTATGTACCTCTGTAAAAGTACACATAAAAGAAATGTGCTAAAGCATAAAGGAATATAAAACAAATGATCCGATTTCTCTCTATGAATCCAACCTTTCTCGCTCCTAGGACCCATAAAGAAACAGCCTCCTTTGCACTTAGAAGTACTTGTGATGCTGTTCTGTCCGTTGCGAATGCTGTATCCTGTAATGCACTACAGTTTAAAGCGGGTCCAGTTAATGCAACTACGGGTTGTTTATGAAAGACAACTCGGGAATTGTTAAAAAGCTTAAACTACATTGTCTCAAGATATTTCCCTAACCTTATGACAAGTTTGGTATTGCGAAGTGTAAGTATTCTTAAATTTAAAAGTTTTGTCTAAATGTTAAAGTTTAGCCTATTCTGTTTATTTTAGAAATCCTTAGTATTTTTCATTCCATATATAAGGAATATCTCAATGATGAATACAATGATTTAAGTTCATTATGAGAAATAAACATGCTAAAACCCAGAGCTTCAACTTAACATACCTATGAGATCCATATTTCAAGCAATGAATCTCATATTTTTATTTGCAATCACTGAAATGAAATTATAAATGAAGATGTTAGTTGAAAGTGATGAGACTCACTGCAAATAAAGCCAAAGAATTTGAAAACTTACTCGGACGTTTTCGAGCTCAGTCTGGGTAATCTGTAGCTGCTCTAGGAGCTCTTCAACTGACACTCGGCTCAACTGGTTCTGAGATCCTTCTCCATCAACTTCCTGAAATTGAAAACAGATGTTTCCTGAATGAATACTTGGCATTTAGAACCAAAACAATTTTGTTTGTATTTATTTTCCCGTTAGTGCATTAATATGCATTATTCGTGTTGTGGACAAAATATGAGACTCCAGCACATAATCAGTGTTTGGCTAAGTGGACACACAGTAGGTAATACAATTATTTTCACTCAGTACTACTCTTACATATGTTACAAAATTTTCATTTATATTCTAAAATATGTTGCAAAAATATCCCAATAATATATACTAAATAGGGATAATACAAGCTTTTAAAGGCTTATCAGAAATATAGAAGTATCTTTGGTTCATTATTAGTACTATTATAAAATAATGAACACTTAGCTAACCTTGTCAAACTGAAACTTAGCTGCTTCCATTCCCTTATTATACATTTGCAGGTACAAAGCTCGTTGGCGATTCTCCTCATCCTGTAGCTGCCGACTGGCTTCATCTAACTGCTTTTCTAGAACATGAATCCGTTCCTTGGCCTGTTCATAATTTGGCAGCAATTCACAGTATCTTGTATTCACATCTGCCAACTTCTGCAAGAGGGCTTCTACCTTGTCATTATGTGCTTTCTTAATTTCCTGAGTTTCACCCACATGTGCCCTCATTACATCTTCTATTTTCTTCTCATAGAATGATATTAAACTACGCCTTTCTTCATCGCTGTCTAGTGATTCAGTCATGCAGGATGCATCGTGCATTAACATATGGACAGATTCTTTAGAGTGCAATGAAGAGTTTGTCAAGTCATCAAAGTGTCCCGAGTCTGTAAAGGATCCCTGCATTTCATTCCGACATCTGGTTGGTGTACTGTGGTCTTTGAAGGGACTGTCCACGACATCATAAGATCTACATGTATCTTTAAACCTGACACTTTGCTCCTCAATACCCTCTTCATTTTCTCTTACAGTAACAATTTCACTTGAGTTTGATTTCTCATCTGGTGAAAACACTGAAGCTTTATAAAGCCGTAGTTCAACAACTTCTTTTGTTAGTTGAAATATTTCACTGTCCTTCTTATCCAAGTCCTTTTTGGCTTGGCTCAATATACTTTTTAGCCGTCGGATTTGCTTTTGTGCGCGTTGTGTTGGTGTAAGGTATTCCTCTCCAGCTAGGCCAGCATGTGATGAACAATGCAACACATAACGCATGGACCTGCCACTGAATGTTGTACCATTAAACGGTGCATACCCGGCATCGATTGAGGCTGCCGTCGCTGCGCTACCATAACTATGCAAGGAATCATCATCTGGCAAATCCTCTGGAGAGCCAGGGGGAGTATTAGCAGAATCGGTCATACTCAACTTTCTATCAAGACAGTCCTGCATTTTTAAACAAGACTTTTTGGGTCTGATTTGAGAATTTGCATGAAACGACTGTAAAAAGAAAACATTTAGAGGTTAGGTAAGTATATTTTCAAATGTAGAACAGTAAGTAAAGCAAAAAGCTGCAGCCGAAATAGGTAATTAGATATGTATGTCAATGAACCCTTTGCGTCGGTCGACGGCTTGTTTGCGAGTTTGCGTAGGTGCAACTGCAATTCTGGGTGCCATATTGTAGCATGCAAAATGTTAGGTTTTTACTTACTTGACTTCGAGGACGATGGCTGGGCTCAGGTAATCTGGAGCCATCGCTTCGCTTTGAATTTCCGTTTTCCGTGATTACTGGAATATATTTTCTAGCCGATAAAGGCGAGCGCTGCACCATTTTCTCACCGCGCAGCCGCAGTGAAGCGGTTCTTCGGAAATTACCGATGTTTCCCGCGCCAAAATCGTCGTCTTGGAACTCGGCGATTCTTCGAGTATTATTTCTGCTCATCATTTATTTTAATTATTTACATTGACGAAGCGTTCTGTAACAATTAATGAAAATACCAAAATATAATTACATGAAAAAAACTTGTGATAAGAATCAAAATCACGTTTTGTCAATTTGAAGTTTCATAAAAATCCGCAAATGCAAAATCACAATGCAAATTTTGACGGTGCCACGAACAAAAAAGAAATTACGAAACAGAGTAAAGAAATATTATGTAATAATATCTGATACAGATTATTTATACTATTGATTTTTCTTACTTATTGTTTCACATTACATCAAATTAATTTGTTGCTTAATACCTAACACACATAACTTAAAAATGTTGCAAAAAAATTGATTTATGTAGCAACCGATCTACCTACTTTTTACTTCTTTGTTGACAACAAATCACTTATCGATTTGCGATAGCCGCCGATATTATGTTATCAATTTCGAATTTTCAATTGAAATACTAATATGGGAAATAGATGTCGCATTTTTGGAATCAGTAAACGATATAAAATATTTCAATTGTGTCTCTTCACTTAATTTTTTTAATAAACTTAAAGGAGTATAAACTAATTACGAAGTTATTAACAACTGTAGTTTTAATTCCTATGAAGAGTAACGAATATTAAATTTCTTCATTGTAATGTAAATAATTTTCTAAAATGAATAATCCGTACAACAGAAATACAGAAAAGTAAATTTCATAAAGTAATGACTCAATAATTTCCGTAACGAAACATTTCAAGGTTATTTCTTTGTTATTAACTCTGATTATTAGGTTGTTTCATTTCTACAACGCTAAATTACAGAAACTTCAACTTGCAAGAATATGAAAATGGAATAAAATATAATATTTTTATTAACTATCTAGTGGACTTGGTATTTGGAAACTGTAACATGCAGTCATAATATTATGTTGTGTGTCGAATAGGCCGGTTTAGGAAGGAGGTCTTTGTTTTTTGTTTCTACATTTTGTTTTATATTGTATATTGTAACTATACCATATACATAAATAACATTGCGATTTTTTAAATCTACGGTATTAGAAATTGAAGCAAGTGAGTAGTGTTAGCTTAGTGGCTTCAGCGTGCGAGTCTCATCCCTGAGGTCGTAGGTTCGATTCGCTGTGCACCAATGGACTTCTTGTCAATGTGCGAGTTCAACATTCGCTCGAACGGTGAAGGAAAACATCGTGAGCAAACCGGGTTGGCTTAGACCCTAAAATTCGACGGCGTGTGTCAGGCACAGGATGCTGATCACCTACTTGTCTATTAGATTTACAAATGATCATGAAACAGATACAGAAATCTGAGGCCCAGAACTAAAATGGTAGCGCCACTGATTTATTTGTTTTATAAAAATTGGACACATTTTCACAATAAAACGCGGTTATTTTTAACTACAACAATTTATTTTAAATATAAAATATTAAAATATCCACCTGTGACCATTTTTATTCAAATAAACTTGACATACATAATATTTTGGTAAACAGATATATAATTAAGTAGAATTATTTATAATGTGCATTTCTAGCGTAAACAAAAGACTAGCTTTTTTGTTGTTTTGTAACAAAATCTAAATGATGTATGACTGGCTAAAGCCAAGATATAGTTTCTTATATGTTATATAAATATATATTACACCGACGTATAATCCATCCTCATAGTGAAAGTCGTTTGTTACATGTTTTATTTATGTTTAAATAAAGAAAATGAAATAATAACCCAGTGGCGATACAACCCGATATGGTTGCATCATTTTCTTTCCTTTTCTGTAGGCAAGGTGTTCCACCTTCTCCACCTGGCCCGCATAGCTTCTTTAGTTACCGTACAAGTATGTAAGTGTTATTTGCGCACATGGAAATTATAATCCATTTATACAAGCTGGCATTCCGCATTTTGTTTGTTAAGTTAGTAATTCTTTTTTGGGAAAAGGGATACTCTTCTTTAATACAATCCCAGAGGCTCTTTTATCTCTGCCTTTTAATGTATTAAAGAAAAGCTGTGTAAAAAGGCTTACTATAAAGTTAACGATTATCTAGTTGATAAAAGGGACTGGGACTAGGACTAGACAGGCTACTTCTAATTAATTTGCGATATTTGTTTTAAATAAGTGTCGTTTGATGATTTGCTATTTAAAAAGAGTACCGAGAGTTTTTTCCGCCGGCTTTTTCTCTCGGCCTACACCCTCTGTCTTCTTAGCTGATGAGTAGGGATGTCTACCGTTTCAAATTTAATGACGTGGAATAAGTGATACCTGTAGCTTATGTTCCATAATAAACATATTTTATTTTAGAGTCGAAATGCTGGCCTAATCATTCGATGATTAGGCCAGCACTGCTCACAATAAGGAAGATGATTCAGCATTAAAAACATACATCCGCGTTACCCACGAATATTCTTGGGTACTGGAAATAGTAGCAGTGGACCCGTTTCGAATACGCCTGCGAAGATTTCAGGTGGTTTTAAGACGGACTCTAATGCAATAACAGCGTACAGTTAAATGGAACTTGGAATAATCTTTTTATAAAATTATTTATTTAGAAATTAGTTATTAAGAAACAGAGGTGATACCTTAATGGACACTGACAATCGACTGGCTCTGCTCCCGCTTGGTATGCTTATATGCCTTTCTTTTGATTACTTAGCATATTCGATAGTAATTATTTTTATGCTTATGTATGTTTTTAATGAGAATAAACTTCTTTAAACCTAAACATCTTTGGACAGAACAGACAGACACTCGTACAATTGTCTGAGAGAGTTGTATACTAAATACTTCAGTTGCCTATTCCTGCATTGAACGCAAAAAGTTATTTCTAGTTAAATCATACGATAACAACATCAAAAGTATTATTTGTATATTCCATCCCCTAAGACCTTAGCGCAAGCATTGCCGAACAATGGCTAGTCGTATTAGTAATTTTACGTTAGTTTTGTACGGTTCGTTTGTTTCAACATTGCCGTTACAACTCGTTACATAATCGGGGCTTCTCATACAATGAAGAATGAAATACAGAATACATGTTTTTGCCCGCATACAACGCTGTTATGCAATAGAACAATGGTTTAATTCAATTTCATCACCGCAAATCAATGCATTTTCGCACATTTGAGTGCGGTTTTGTATTGGACAAATTGGTTTTTTCATAAGCATTATTAATCATTTGTCAATCCCAGTTCAATTTTCTTTTTCTTTGTTTGGAGCTGAACTAAAGTCAGTCTCATAGGGTAGAATTCAAGAAAATTCAGAGAAGTATGGAACGAATCTGAGTTTGGCTCAAGAATAATTAAATTGAATAATACTTTTTACATGAACAGAACAGTTAAAATACAAAAACATTATGTACTTTTTAGTAAAGTTTTATGAAGAAAAATCGCCAATTAGAACTTATGACTAAGATAATAAAAAAATAACTTGTTCTATGATTCTGTAAATAGAAATATGCATCTTTAAAAAAGTGTTTCATTTACATTTCTTCGCTTAATGTGAGTTTACTTATGTACTTTTTAGTACATACCAACATGGAACATTTTGCTATGCTACCCCAGAGACTGTTCCGTTTTCTGGAACGAAAACGTTTTTCTGTGAATTTTTCTCTATATAAACCAAAGAGTTAGAGTGAAAATTAAGGATTATAAAAACATATTATTTTAACGAAAATATAAAAATAAAAATTTAGGGGTGGACCACCCTTAACATTTAGGGGGTTGAAAGATAGATAGTTGCCGATTCTCAGACTTATTGAATATGCATTAAAAATTTCATAAGAATCGGTCGAGCCGTTTCGGAGGAGTATGAGAACGAACATTGTGACACGAGAATTTCATATATTAGATTTTGTTCATATGTAACATAGATAACCTAAAACACATGATATTCTTACTTCCTTCTAACACAAACGAGTCAGCTAAACCACAAAATGAGATATTATAGTACTTTGAGGTTAAACCGAAGTAGGTTAAGCCTGAGGACAGATGCATCAAGGCTGATTATATGCTTATTAAGTACTTTAGCGTTATTTCTTTGTATAAACATAATCTAAGTTAGTGGTTTTGAGTATTCATTTGTTTTTACTAGTCGAAAGAATGCACCAATAACTTTTTCTATCGCAATTTATATTTATTCATTTTATTTTGGCGAATTAAAAATTATTTGTTTTGTAGTATTGTCTTTGATTAACATAACCTTTACACATTTAAAGAAAAACGCTTTTACCGGATTAAAGTTATGTATTATTATAAATTTACAATTATTTGACATAATTTTAAATTTATACGACGTTTCGCGTGCTTTACAGCGTGCGTGGTCACGGTGACTGTAAATTTATAATAATACATAACTTTAATCCGGTAAAAGCGTTTTTCTTTAAATTACTTGTTTTGATTTGTAAACATAATTGAAATGAATGTATCCTTCTGCTATCATTACAGCAAGCTTTCAACGCCGTAACTTCTTTAGCATAAGTTTATTTAAAAAAAATCAGTGTCACTAGAACATTTTTAGTCTCAGATTTCTGAATCTGTTTCATGATCATTTATCAGTCTAATAGGCAAGTAGGTGATCAGCCTTCTGTGCCTGACACACGCCGTCGTCTTTTTGGGTCTAAGGTCATTCAAGTGAATGTTAAATGCGCACATAGAAAGAAAGTCCACTGGTAAAGCCGGAGATCGAACCTACGACCTCAAGGAAGCACGCTTAAGCCACTAGGCCAACACTGCTTAAATTTGGTTAGTCAACAGATTTGCACCTTAACTGGTATATCTAAACATAGGCAATGTAACTTATAGGTACAGACCTATAACTGAAATTCTAGGCTTTAATTCTCCACTCCTATTTGGTATTATGGAGGATGGGTAAATAAACTGTGGCCATAGCCAAGAATGAAGCTTTAACAGATATAAGATACACTTGTAGCGTGATTAATTATTTTATCCAAAAAAATAAATACTAATAATACATACATACACTTCTGAGACTCAAAAACCCCCGGTAGAAAACTTACT